CATCGATGGCAGCGGCCCAGTGGACCATACCTCCTTGAAGCCGAGCTCTCCCTGCAAGACCCATGGTGGAAGCTTGAACGGACCTTGCTACAAGAGGCCAAAGCACAACGCACCGCAAGGCTGGCAAGCAAAGCACACACAACCATCTAGTGGCAGGCCTCGACTGGCGCATATACAGGAAGATGCTGCAGGCCATCCCAGGCGAGCACAAACCACACCTGAGGACTTGGACACAAGCTGCCATCCATTGCAAGCAAGATGGCAAAGTCAAGCTCTGTCCCATTTGCAGCGTGTAAGTGGCACCACAATCAGCAACACAAGCCAATGCCTCCAGAATGGGCGGAGCGAATCCTGTGCGAGGACGAAATACCTTTATGGACCGCAGGCTGGATCCCTCTTGAACCGCAAGAGCACAAGCAAGACAAGCAACAGTACCAAGGACATGGGGCATGGCAAGAACTCCAACCACTTGCACCACATCAGCATCAAGGGTGGCTTTCACTCGATGCCACACCCTCGAGCTATCACCAACGTGACCGGCTCTGGATCTTTGGCCTCTGCGTGCATCACCTGTCTTTGGGACAGCTGCAGAGACTTGGGGCCATCACTGGAGCCCCAGCCCCGCCTCACAACAAGGCCAGAGCACTCATGGAGGGCTTGGTTGCTTTGGCAAAGCACACCACAACGGCCGTAAGGGTCATAGTCCAGTTGGTCAGTGTCTGGGAGGCATGGACCCAGCCCCGTCACCGAGGACCCTTTCAAGACCAGCTCGAACATCTGACAGAGCAGGACTATCACAGGGTCACAGTTTTGTATGTGTCCCGCAACACCAGGTCACCAGAGGCCCCAGGCAGCGAACCCCAGCTACGCCGCAGACAGCGGGATGCCGCACTGGCAGCGTGGGAAAGGGCCAAGCAGTACCAAGACCGCAAGAGAACTGAATGGCAGCAGGTCTTGGATGAGGATGAGGACCATCAACTCATCTATACCCATGCCATCAACCGCCTGGCCAAGATCTACAGTGACAAAGAGCATTACATCCACCAAAAGCCCAACAGGCATCAGGGCAAAAAAACTAAGCAATACAAGAAGCACCTCATTGCAAAGTGCAGCAAGCCCTGGACGGCTCCCTCCCACCGCTGGGCACCTCATCGAAGTGGGCACCAATGTGGAGCTTGTGGGGTAAGAGTGCACCAAGGCCTGACTGTGCAGGTCCTCGAGGAACGCCTCAATGAAGAATGTCCTCAGCTCACCATTGCGGAAAACATCACCGAGCCAGCACAACCACACCGGCCCATGCCAAAGAAGCAGACTAGAACGCAGGTCATCAAACAACTCCTGCAGAAGCAGCAAGAAGAGAAGCCAGCACCACGGCAACATGAGCTTGCAGAAACAGCAGGCTACCTTCGATGCGTGAGGTGCGGCACCAACATCCACAAAAGAAGCAATGAACAGGCCTTTCAAGACTTCATTCAAGGCATGTGCTATGACCAGCCCTACGCCACCGATCATCCTGGCCACAATAGCCACGCTCTATGGCAAAAAGGAAGCAAAGTCACCTGCACACAATGTGGCATAACTTTGCATCTGGATGGACAGCAGCCGCTCATCCTCACGGCGGCTGTCAAAAAGCCCTGCAAAGGATCTGGCAGCCAGAGCTCCACACCCCTGACAGAGATCTTCAGGAAACAGATGGAGCAGGCCTCTCAACACAGCTCACCTGAGTCATCAGGTGATTCCAGCCACAAGCCGCAAGAACATCATGCCAAGGACGAGACAGTCAACAAACCGACACTCGATCCCAGAAGGCCAACACAGTTAGGAGAGGAAGCCCGAACTAGGCCTACACCGAGGCGTTTGCACTTTCCTACTGACATGGACCTTCAGGAGCAAGGACAAGAGGCAGGCATAGCTGCTTTGGCCATGAACCCCAGCCCTCAGGCAGCACAGCTCCTCACTCAGAGCTCCAACCACCCTTCAGCTGCACCTATGCATGAAGAAGGAGACCTACCTGAAGCTTTCACCGTTGACTACTTCTGAGTCAAGTGAGCCCCAAGCTTTAGCCGACCGACCACAAGGGTCTTGAGCACTCACACTTTAGAAGAAAAATACATACACACATACACACACATACATACATACATACATACATACATACATACACACATACATACATACATATTGTTTACAGTTTCATTTGTAACACACAAGCACAACCTGCAGCACAAGAAAACATTTCCTGTTTGTTTCAATTAAGCAGTTACGATTTTGGAATGAATGCATGCTTGCTGAGCACATACGGTGTTTGCATACGGTTAGCTGACGCTTGCTGAGCAAATACGGTGTTTGCATACGGTTAGCTGACGGCGTAGAACTGGACGATTTGACAAACATATGGCGGTCGCGGTATGAATGAGATATAGTATCAGCTTGCAATCCAGTATCACCACACTGCTGCTCACAATTTTGAAGAGTTCAGTTGTCGTTCGACAAGAAGGGTCGTTGTGGAAAAGACAATTTGCCACTGTGATTAGAGCATAACTACAGCGGCTGCCCCGAACAACAAGAAAAGTTGGTCAGGTTTCAGGAATACACCCGTGGCAATCAAACAATGCTGCGGTGTCAAGTTGAATTTGAGCGAGTCATTAAGCCAGAAATACACCGGGTCAGAAACCGAACGCGTAGCCGCATGCATTTCACAACAGGATGAAGTGACCGAATGATGTAAATTTCATATACTTCAGGGAACTTCAGGGTAGTTGAATGTATAAGAAGTCTGGCTGTGCTTCTGCAAAGCACTGCACTTAATGGGACATTATAAATGTTGTTGTTGCGGTTGCTGTTGCTGTTGCGGTTGTTGCTGTTGCTGTTGCTGTTGCTGTTGTTGTTGTTGTTGTTTCGTGGGTGATTTTTGGTAAGCGTGCTTTCCTTTTTCTCCTTAGGAGCGGCCACGCAATACTCGTTTTTTTGGTCTCGCGCACGGCTGAGGGTCAGAGTCCCTTGGAATCAATTGGTGCAAGCTGCAAAATAGATTCTCGGATCTTGCGCGCGAGAAGCACCACTGCCAAAATTAACAATCTGAAGGTTCACAGCTCCGGCGTGCGCGGAGGGGTACCAGATATATAATTCCCCAGATAGCGACAGCTATGGCAGCTATGGGGTTCGTTTTTCAAATAACAATGAGCTGGCTGTGCGCTTTTGAGACAGGGTGCCGGGTGCTGGTGCTGGCTGTGGTGCTGGTGCTGGGTGCTGTGAGCTGGCTGTGCGTGGTGGAGACAGGGTGCCGGTGCTGGTGCTGGGTGCTGTGAGCTGGCTGCATGTGCGCGTGGTGCAAACAGGGTGCCAGTGGTGCTGTGAGCTGGCGTGCCGGTGCTGGGTGCTGGTGCTGGCTGTGCGCGTGGTGTGCGCGTGGCGGACACAGGGTACCGTGCTGGGTGCGGGTGCCGGGCTGCTGGTGCTCGTTGTGTGCGTGGTGGAGATTGGGCACTGGTGCCGGGCGCTGGTGCTGGCTGTGTGCGTAGTGGAGACACGCCAGGCTGTATTGCGGCGTTTCTTTCCAGTGTAAAGAAGGTCCCTGTGTGTGCTTTGGAGCTGCTGCCAATGCAGGGTGCAGTCCAGAAATCTTTCATGTTTTTTGCTATTTGGGGTCTATGCTGGTGTAATTTTGTCAAGACAAGCCCGGACCCTGCTGTGTCTCGAACAACATCATGAATCGAACGCACGCAAGCACGAATCGAAAAATTGCATCCCCAGCCCATTCCCCCGCGACATGCCAACAATCGTGATCACATGTGATCACATCATTTATCATATTTTCTCATCAATGAATCAATACTGTAGCCAATGGAAATTCAGCATAAAATGAGCACCACGACGCGTTCGGTTTCCGACGCCTGGCTTGCTTTCCCAACAGCGGCAAGCACCCCGGAGGGATCAGTTGGTTCCGCAACAACTTGCAAGTGTGTCCGATGGCAAGAGACTTGTAGCTATGGTGGAATTTACGTGCCGTCGGGTGGCAAAATGAGCCGACAATATGGAAGCGTCCAAAGGCTCCGCACATGCAAGCTTTGCAGGGCAAGAGGTGAAGCCAAGACCACCGCCCGACCAACGCACCAATGCAATCCGGTAGGAGATCCCAGACAATGCCAAAACCAAGCCCTCAACACAACCCCGAAAAATGATGAAACATGTGAGATTTCAAGATTTCGCAGGTAACAACTAAAGGGCCAAGTTGGGATTACAGGAGCCGAAGGACAGGGCCACAAACCTCGAACACAAGGTCACACAACAAGCTGCTCAACTCAATGAAGCACGCCTCACCGGCGACAAGGAGAAGGGACACACAAGGACAAGAATTGACCTCCGCAGTGGCGGTCCAATTCAAGGCTAGACGTAATCGGTGGGCAGTTCAGTCCCGGACCATTAAGGTAGGACATGCAGAAGGAGGAACATGGAAGGAAGACAAGGTTTATTTAGTCTACCTGAGCAACAAAAGAAACCAGTTTAACTCGCTCCAGTGAAGACGCTCCCTGTGGAGTGTTGGAAGTTCACATGAAATGATTGACTTGCGTGAGGAGGCAAACTTGACAAAACGTAGCCGCATGAACATGGTGACAATATATATACAACCATATACGCAAACCAGTTGTTCTACCGTTACTGTTGTAGGAAATGATTATGATTGATTTGTTAGAGGATGAATTACAATACACATATACAACAGTTAATAAGTTAGATTATATGATTCACAAACAGTTGCTTTCCAGGGTCCCCAAAAAGTCCGCGAGCCCATGTTTATTTGTTCAAAAATATATATACAATACAATACATACATATATATATATATATTACCTGTATGTATGCTTTGTTTGGTGTGCCGAGCATATCAAACACCCCCAAAGTGCGAGTTACCTCACAGTCCTGTTTGAAATCAATTCAATTCCTGTTTTTGAAAGTCATACAAACATTGAGTTTGCGTACTTTGTCCTTTACCAGCTGAGGTTATGAAGATCAAAGCAAAATTGAAGCTTCAGACTCTTGCTTCTGAGTAGTTCTTTAAGTGGGTGCTGGTCCTGGTTGTTGGTGTCGATGTTTGATTCCGCTGGGCCAAGCTTTGGGCAATCAGCTTCATATTAAGATGTCATCAGACTTTGCTTCTCACCACTTATGAGTGTGGCAAGTTGGGGGCCATGAGCCAATGAATCAAAACTGCACTCCAATTGGGTTTCGATATAATATATATATATATAGCCGTTCCCATGACATTGCATTTAAAAGAGGGTGCAGCTCTCAGCATATTGTTGCGGATCTTCTTTTTTGATATCCCCATTCGAACCGCCATGTGTGCATTGGCACCTTTGGCACAAATTCAAAAGTTTGGCAAAATTCCGCTCACCTAAGGAAGGAAGGCTTTGCAGACCACTATAGAAAGGCAACTTGGCTTGTAGTGAGTCGCTGGCAAGAAGTTGCTGAGGGCAAATTGTTCGTGAGTGAACTCTGAACGTCAAAGACACATGGTGTTTGTTAGTTGATGCGCAGGCTTTCAGGTAGGCAAAACAGTCAGCTCATGCACGAGAGGTCCTTTTAAAGATGCTGTCGTTGCCACCACATCCTGGTGTGATGCCAGTGGAGGAGGCAAGCTTTGGCCGGGTTGGAGGTAAGGTCACACACGTTTGAGAATATAGGCTTCTGCGAAATAGGCTTCCTTTGCGAACAACAACCCAAATGCAGCCGTGGCGTTTGTGCATTTGATGTGACATGAGACAAACGATCTAAGAAACCACTCGCAATATTTATACCCGGCCTATCCAAACCCCACCAACGAACCGATCAGCATCCTACACAGAAGATATGCACATGGGCATGTTGTTGCTCATTTGTATTGTCGCCCATTCGATGCAAATTAGGATTCAAATACATGTGTTCTTGAGGATTCTTGGCCTGTTTTGCTTTTAGCTTTTGACCCCGTAGTCAGAATCGGGATCCCGGATGAAATAAGTGAAAACCTGTTCAGGACATCGGCGCTCAGAAGTCTGACCCCAGACAACAGCATTGTTTACGAAGCCAGCATACATACACTAGGACCAAAATATTGTCTCATAGCGATGCCCTTTGCTCCTAGTAGCGAACATTGCTCCTAGTAGTAAGGCCAGGAGCCCCTAGTAGCGTCCTTGCTCCTAGAAGCGATGCCCTTTGCTCCTAGTAGCCTCCTTGCTCCTAGTCCTAGTAGTGTCCGCACTAGCTTGACAGGCATTGGAGGACGATGCCTTCTACTATGTCCCAGCCTCAAAGCATCACGCAAATGAAAGCAGTTTCATTAGATCGCTTAAAGACCAGATGCTTGGGAAACTTGACATCTCATTAAGTTTGTTTTACCAGGCACCCATACTGGTTTTGACCTGGGTGTTTTTGTTTCTCATTTGCGATAGGTTTACGGCACGATCGCACTTCAGCTCAGACTAGCAAGCTGTAACTAGCTCCCTCAACAGGGTTTTAGCTTCTACGGCCTGCACATGGGCCCCGCCAGAGCAGCTAAACCAAAGTTTTATGTTTGCATTGCGATCTCTACCTGACATGGAATTTGTGGGCCCTGGAGTGCCTGAAAAAGTATGCTCCATGAGACAATCAAGGCTTCAGCCATACCAAGGTGGTGACCCCAAGGGCAACATCCAGCTTTTTTGACGGGCTGCTAGTTGAGTTCCACGACGGGGTCGTTCCTGAAGGTGCACTGAGGAGAGCGTGAACGCAAATGGACAGAGTAAATTCCACCTGCAGTTCTTGAATTGGTTTTCGCAAGGAGCCTGATGACGGACATGCTGGAAGCGGTGGAACACCTGCATAGCTTTGGTGTGTGGGCTTGTCAGTGGGGACTTGTGTCCACCGGGCCTTGCTGGCTGATGGTTTGAGAAGACCTGGCTGGCTGACTATCTTAAAGCAATCCTGAGATGGATTCCAGATGCTCAAGGAATGGCATGCAAATGTTTACCTTTGCGATCCTTTGCGTACCTGCTGTGCCAATTCATGGAAGCCCCAGCAAAAAAAGGGCCTTAGGTCCAGTCTTCACTGCCCCTTGTGATGCAGGACAAGCAATACCTGAGACGTATATAGTGTCCACAATATCTAATGTCATATGTATCCAGTACACTTCAAGACGTTCCAAGCCAACATGTGCCTGTTCTCAGAGTTCAACGCGCAGCAGCAGCAGCATCATGCAAACATGGAATGTCATGGGTCGGTTTTGCTTGATTGATCCTCGCGGCATCTCGTGGTCATCCAAGGACGCTACTAGGGGCTCCTGGCCTTACTACTAGGAACAATGTTCGCTACTAGAAACAAGAATTCAATAGAATTTGAATTAAAATTCAAATTAAATCTAATCGAAAACCTTTGAGCTGTGCAGGCTTCACAGGGACATCAAACCGGACAACATGGTCCTGCAGGCGACATGACACGTTCCAATTGTACTGCGAGAGGCCTAACGACACAGCTGAAGCAAAACGGTAAAGCAGGTTGAGTTTAGACAACTTGTTCAATACTTTGTCATCAAGACATGAATATCACGTAAGGCCAAACTAAACTTACTAAACTCAATGGAACCAACGTTTGTCGTTTGGCCTTCGGTTGTGCTTTGCAGACTCACGTGGACGAAGAGACAGGCGAGAAACGAAGGACTGCTCCACGCCTACATTCGAAGCTTTTTAAAGCATGATGGATGGCAAAATTTGCATACCTGGTATCCTTCCTGCTCACGCTTTTCAGGAAGGTCGTGCTTATTGACTTCGACCATGCCGACCCAGATTTTCACAACAATCATGATGAGCAGGACGCTATATTTTTGGTTGTTTTTGGAGTGGTTTCTTTTCCCTCCTGTCTTCTCCATGACGTGCTATCAAGACAATGGATTTAAGAATTTAAGTAATTCTACAAATTCGTGACACGAGTTGCTGGATTAGAGACTATGCCACAGATTTCATTACACTCCCTGGAATATCATGAAGACGGAAAATGGTCCCCTGGACAATTTTCCTCTACAAACAGTGTAGCTGTATATAGGTCGTAAGATCCAGAGCGCTGCATCTACACATTGAATGGGCATTCATACGGCCTCCAACCTCCGCATGGTGAAGACATGAGCGTGCCGAGAAGGGTTTTGCATGATGAGCGAACTAAAATGAGTTGAAATCAGCAACCATGCTTCACCTGTCTCACATGTTCAGTTCGAGTTTGGTGGACGGCCACGCATGATTCAAGAGGAGCGGATTTATGGAACACGACGATTCAATGCACCTGCAGCTGGTTTGCAAATTCGGAGGTGTCATGTTGGCAAGCCAGTTGCAGTACCGCAAGTTGAGTGAGTAGGAGGCCACAGCCGGTATACCGTATATTTGTCTAATTTAATTTAGTTCTAATTTATTTGAATTATTGTTTCTACTAGCGTTTTTATTACTACTATATAGTAAGGCACTTGTTACTAGTAGCGATGCACTTGTTCCTAGTAATTATCAGGCCTGGCGAATCTGAACTTTCTGATTCCCAGGGGCGAGTAGCTGACGCGAACAGTCCGCTCGTATGTCCGATAATGTCCTATATATATAATTATGTGCCATTTGCAATTTGCAAGCAAGTAGAAACCGGTAAAAAAATGTATATATAATATAACTTTAAACTTTACCTACTACTATGATTGGCAGGGGGTTAAGTGTGCCCCGGACGAGTAGCAATCGTTTTGACGTGGGTGACAAGAGTGCTCGACCTGAACTGCTCAGGAATCATACCTTTGCAACTTTTCCAAGCAGACAGATCTCTATGCAATAGGCAGGGCTTTGTCACGACTGCAACACTACGAGTGACCTTATGAGGCACAAGCATCACCACGCATCAACATTCTCTCGTGAGTCTTTGACACCCTGTTCAAACTGCACCAGTTCTCACAGAAGCACCCTTATACAGGTCCGTTCACGAGTCCTCCGTCAATATGTCGAGGTGTTGTTTTCTACATGCTGCTGACCGGCAAGTGTCTTGTCTGGGCAAAGTGCGGGATGAACGCGAGAAGGTCTATTGGAAAAGCATACAATTTCAGGTAGACAAGTCAAATCATTGCACATCTACATACTCTTTATTATATACAACAAACACCAACTTTGCTTCCTGTTCCATCCAGTGCATGATGGAATGGGTGACACACACATATATATGTGTATATCTAATCTATCGGTCTATCTATCTAGCTATGTATCCACTCATCCATCCATCCATCAATCCATTTATTTGCATAGAGATGTCACTTCCAAGTTTCTTATGTGAGTAGTGTTTCGAGGTCGTTGTTTGTGTCACAGATATTGGGCCCTTCTCACGTAGAATGCTTGAGTCCCAATAAAGGATACCACTGATTCGACGCTGTGCCCCATCCAGGATGCCTTACGATGATGAAATCTTTGATGGGATCAAACCACCCACATCAAGGCCAGGTCATGCCATATTATAACTTCGGGATCGGCTGCTTGTAAGCCGCGACATTGAGCAACATTGACCCTGCTCGGAAAAATCACTGGCAATCGAGTCAACAAGCACACTTTGTGCTTAATAACTTGCAACCCCACCCCACCCCTGAAGCTAGGCAAGGTGGAATCCAGTTTATGGAAGCTTACTTGGTGGAACTTGGATCTTTGTTCAGAAGACTTGTCTTGTCGGATGAGGAGTGAGAAATCAGCAGAGGTTTCACCGACAGCACTTTCATTCCTCTTGGTTACCCTTCTGTGCATTGAGGAACTCTGCGACCTAGACTAGACTAGATGCACCAATGAAGAAGCTGCGCTTTTTACTGTATTGTAAGAGAAGCTCTTTGTCACCCCCAGGTGTACAGGAGTATCTCATTCTGCCGTGCAGATGAGATTCCACGCGCGCACTTAATGGCAATGCTGCGTAAATGGCACTTGTGGTTGAAAGGGGCAATTCTTATGACGATTTTGCACAGCACACATTCGATCTCAGCGAGAGCAACAGGTCCTATTCCTTTGCCTTAGTCTCATGAAACGAGCAGCTTGTTTGCCTCTCAATGACAGGGGTGTGCAATATGTTGAAATTGATTTGCTGAATCCTTGGGCCTCAACGACTCAAGAACTTTTTAATGTCCAAGGCTTCTACGTTCGTTCTTGACTTCCCTGAACTTCTCTACGGTTCTCCACCTCGTTGTCATTCTTACCTCTCATGGGCAAAGACCTTGGGGATCCCAAGCAAGAAGATGACGCGTGACATGACGTTGTACTCCTTTGTCATTGTGCTTTGCCCATGGGTGCAAGGCACCTTTAGGTATAGCAGTAGCAGGGGCTGGAGCTGTTTCCGAACTATGTTTGTGTCACTTTGGACAAGATCATCATTGGCAAGTCAGAGTTCACCCCGACCAAACCATAAGAGGATATCGAACCACATTTGCCACATGTTTGCCTTCCATCAATCAATGCACGTCGTGCTCCTTCATTGCACTTTGGGCGCTGCTTTGCTCCAGCGCTGGAACCTGGCACTGACCAGTTAGAAAGACTAGCACTTCTATAGAACCCCCTAGAAAGACTAGCGCAGCTTGACCAGTTAGAGTGTTTCTAAGAGCTGTATGACAGTTATCCTTTGCAGAGCGAGAGTGAGCGTTTGATCGTCAGGATGGCCAGCCCAAGGGCACTTCTTGAGGACACCTTTCAACGTGCCTTGAAAAGCGCTTCAGACAGAGCACCTTTTACTTTGGATTCATAGTGGGCACTCCCGGAACTTGCTCAGGTTCAGACAATTTGAAAAGGTTTGGTGGAGTTCCAGGGTGAGGAAGCTTTTGCCAAGAACCCCCCCTTGCTCCTACTCATGTCACACAAAATATGACATGTACTCTGATTTTGGCCTTGCTTGCATGCAGATTTTATGTCAATAATCAACAAAAGTAATATAATGTAATAGATTGTATTACATATTATATTATATGCACCTCAATTGTTGGTCCAGAAAAGTATACTGAACTATATATATATGTAATCGTGAACTGCCCGTGCTCCCTCCCGCTCTGGCTGGATGGCTGGATGTTGCCGTCAGGCCTGAAAGATGCCGATATCGACTGGAACTGCGACCCATGGCCATCGCATCTTGCTCGCAATGGTGAATTTTATCTGAGTCTCAAGCGCTTCCAATTCCAGGTGCGTAGGATTTCTGGGAAGTCAACAACCAATGTGCATTGATCAAGGGTTTGCTTTCTGGAGATTTGGGTGTGTGGCTTGAAATTGCCTGTAAGCAGATCTCCGCTCATTTTGTGGTCATGTCTTTATTTTGCGGTGGGGACCCGTGTAGCACGATGGCTTCCAGACTCCTTTCAGCCTTTGAGTCTCCATTTGTGTCATCCAAGGCAACCTTTGAGCAAGGACCTTTGCAAACAGCTTTTAGCCTTCAACCCGGCACTACGACCGGCATCAGCACGCACAGTGTGGAAACCCAGTTGTGAATACCAATGTGGGCGTTCTGTTTACAGTAGTTATGTACATACCCTCCTATACTCATACTATTTGGTGAATTTCAAAAGATACTTGCAGTGTTTGGTGCATATTTTTATAGTCAGATTTTGCAGGTACTTTTTCTCATGATTGAGTTATGATATACAGATTTATGTAGGGGAAAGAAATACATAATCAGATAACCTAGAAATGAAAGTGGATAAGGATGGGGGGGCCAGCAGGGGAGGACAACTTAAAGGAGAGTTTGCGTGTGTGTGTGTGTGCAAAACATTTTCATTCACAATAGTCTTTATTAGTCTTTGCATTGTCGTTCAGAGCTGCTTCGCAGATATACACTAAAACAGGAGAGTATAGGATGGGGGATTGCATATACAGCACGCACAGTGTGAATATCCATGTGCCCATGTGGGCATCCTTGCAGGGCAGATATATAGTCAAACTGCAAAAACACAGATTCAAGTCCCTGAGTGATGTGTGGAGGCCATCGCTACTAGTAGCTTCTTGTTACTAGTAGCAAGGCCAGGAGCTACTTTCGTCCCTGCTCCTAGTAGCGATGCCCTTTGTTCCTAGTAGCTTCTTGCTCCTACTAGTAGTAGTAAGGCCAGGAGCCCCTAGTAGCGTCCTTGCTCCTTAGTAGCGATGCCCTTTGTTACTAGTAGCGTCCTCTTGTTACTAGAAGCATTTGCTTGGACCTTGAGACCTGAGATCAGTTTGCTGCGGAGACAGAAAATGGCAGGACGAGTAAGTGGTGCCTAAAGCTGGTGCCTAAAGCACGCTAAATTCAAGGCTTCGCTGGAAAACCATTCTTTTGAATTTGAATTGATTGGAAAGATGCCATTGCACGGCACAAGCACACATGAATTGCCAAGCATAGAACTGAAAAATGCTGTTTCAAAACGAAGCCACCGAAACAGATACGAAGAAAAGGAAGAAGGCTCAAGAAGCGCTTGGCGACTATACTATGACTGCTATGGCTATGCTTTCTCATACAATAGGTCCTCTTTCAGACTGTGTGCAGCTGCCCCTGCTCCAGACTGAAGGCTTTGAGCCATGCGTGGTTTCTGGACTGAGAACGCCCAGTTTCAGTGAGACAGCCTTTGAGAGAGAGAGAGAGTCCTGCTCTTGGCAGTCAAGTCAAGCTCTGGAGGTTCACAATAAACTTTTAGCCAACAATGACAGCACCATTCAGAGACCGGAGCCCATTTTGTTGATGGACTGTACAATTTGTGTGCCAAGTCTACACATTCAATTTACCATTCCTGAGTAGGTTGAATGTTTGAAGGTCTTCCACAGAAGACATCATTATACATACACACGATTGTAAGGTGCAAAACTTTAAAACAGGCTTCTGAACATCCAGAGCAAGAGGAAGTTTCCCTTACATGCATGTGAAAGACGGCAGCAGGGCTACTTTTTTTGCAGTAGGTATAGTCAGACATTCTGAATTCATTCATTTACCCATGGCCCTTGCAGAGTGTACAGTGCCGGGGGGCCAAGGAAATCCCTAGAGTTCATTCTTCAGTGCAAGTGATCGCTTATTCTCTCCAGTGCTGGCTTTTTGCCGTTGAAAGTGTGCGAGCTTTCCATCAACATGGCTTCCCTTGTTCTACTAGGTTGGAGGCCATCGCTATTAGGTTGGAGGCCATTACTAATTACTACTAGTAGGTAGAAGCTACTAGCAACAAGTGCAATTAGTAGTAATGCCCTAGTGCTGGACTGCTCCCTGCCCCTGATGAAACTTTGCATGCTGAGGCACACGTGCATGTGCATGCTGAGAATGCTTGAGTATGATTACACCATACAGCCCTCCTTACAAACGCTAACTCTTTTGTGGGTGTGAGCTTCTCTTTGTTGTTTTGTTGTGATGGGCCTTGGGAAACGTCAACCAGAGCTGGAAGAGCATTGACGAAGCGACTCCGTTGAATGTGGCTTTTCGCACAAGTGCGCGAGTCAACGCTTTCAGCCAACACTGAGTGCATTTGAGTGCTGTGGGCACTTTCCAGAGTCACCCCATAGACTGTCTGAGACAACCGGGGTGGCTATGGAGGGTGCCACAAGGATCAAGCAAGCGCAATTAGGTGAAGGCACACCCACCTCAACAATCTCCACAACCCGCAGTCCATGTCGAATCTACACAGGGACTGACTCCACCCTCGGCATTGCTTGGCAGAGGGACTAACTCCACCCTCAGCATCCCTTAGCAGCCTTAGCAGAAGAGCTGGCAGATATAGGATATAGGGATGGCCAGCGGCCACGGCTCTTACATGGTTTTCGCTTTGGAGATTGTATGCAGGTCTGAAGTGTCCCTTGAGCGAACTCCGCTCAACTCCGCTCACAGCGGGTTGAATAGGCTAACCTGTGTAGTGCCTCGAATGCAAGTATGGCAAAGACATGATTCGCTGGTGGATTTGCTTTGGGTGTAGCATTGCCCCAAGCGTTGAAATTGTACGATTGTTGAGTACTAGATAAAGCTATAGCCATCAGTTTCCTCAGCAATGCTGCTTTCTGGGCACGCAGCAGGGCAGTGGGTTCTTGCCATCCATAATAAGGTAGCTGTGATGGCTCAGACATGGTGAGTGTAATTCACAGCTATGTAGGCACAAAATGGTGCAACAGCTGCCACGGCTATTAATTACGATTTTTTTCTCAATGCCAGTGCAGGACAGCAGAAAAGGCTCCTGATCACGGGCGGGCGGCGTTTTTAAACGATGTTTGGTGGTCTAATGTTGATGAACGGCAACCATTCTGCGACGCCCTTCAAGAGCCGTTAAAGGTTCATTATCCGTGTTGCATCCCATGAGTCGTTTGCCACTCCGCTAGACATGGTTCACTCTGCCAGGCCACGGACATTAGCCGGCACCTTGTTTGTATTTCTTGTCGCAGCTGAATTCCAGTATGCCAGTGTTGTTCAACTGCGAGGAATAATTCTTTGGCCATGTTGGAGCTGTGGCCAAGCCAGGCCCGCAAGTGGGAAAGGCTCCAGATTGATGTGGAGAGCCCCTTGAAGCTGCATACTGAAGAGCTACGTAGATTACGTAGTGATGCTCCAAACATGTCACTAAATCTCCGACTATGTGGTGAGATTAGGTAGCATGACTCGAAGCATGACATGTCGAGAATGCCATTGATGAATTGATGGCTCTCTTGGTGACACTGAGCTGGATGTGCCATGATGTGCCCCATGTGCTCTAGCAGCGGCACACGCTCAAAATCATCCAAACCTGAACCTGCTTAGAGACATGACTGCGGTGAAGCAGTCCAATGTAGACAGCTTGCAGGCAGCAATAGGGGGATGGAAAAAGACTGGAGAGTGAGCAGACGTGAGCGGACCCTTCTTTCCAGATGCACTCCCTGCAGGATCATGCAGCATGCAAGTGCAAAACGCCTTGACATATTTTACAAATTGTGAGGAAGCATCTTGGGAAGCCAAATTGAGGAGGCATGCACTGCATCTCCCGGCTTAGTTTGTTGCCCAGGCAAACCGAGTGATTGAATCAGCCACATGAGCAGCTTGCTGAAGCGGTGAAAGAATTCGTTGGGCCAGAAGACATGCGAAGGCCAGTGCAAGAAGAACACACCAAGGGGATTTCTGAACGTGGCTGACTGTGTTTAAAAGGAATCATGGGGATTTCTGTATGTTCCTGGCATTCACTTTGAGGGGCCCAGATAGATACTGTAGATCCGTAGAAAGCCGTCACACACTTGCCTTTCGGTGCTTTTGCTGCCAGGTCTTCAACATGTCATTTGCACGAACAAATTCACAGGTGCCTTAAAGATTCTTGGATACGCGTGGAAAACAACGAATTCTGAACTGCTTAACTGCATTCTGGAAATCTGGAGTATAGTTGTGTGCGTTCACAATTCACATCGCATGTGTTCATTCCTGTTTACCCTCTAGCACCCCACCTGCGTGGAAGGGCTTTGAGGGGCGGACCGTCGGACAGTTCGCAAGTGAGTGTGGAAATCTGAAGTATGTTTTTTGCAGCCAATGGCAACCTTGAAGATCTTCACCTTGCAGCAGCCTTTGCCATTCAGGGCCCGAGTCTTCTCAAGAGAAACATGGAGTTGGTGCTGTGTCCGTGAGGGATTCTCAATCGGTTGCTGCAGAGAATGAGAACAAGACGCAGAAAGGATTCAATTCCCTGACACTTGATTCTCGCAATGAAGGCCATTATGATGCATGATACGGCGGCGTGGTTCCATGCTTTGTTTCTTTTCTCGTGATTACTGCCCCGAGATTCTTTCAAGACATTTGAGATTTCCACCCCTCAGATCAAGCAAAAGCAATGGTGTAGGGTGTAGGGTCGAAACATTTGCCTTTAATGGTAGCTGGACGATTTGCTCAGGATGGATTGATCCAGCAATGCGGCAGATCCAATGTCCAGGAGTTTGCTAGACTCTGATGCTGGGGTTTCTCAATGTGGATGAGCTGAGAATGCGGTCACATCTAGAGGCCACTTGGTTGACTTGAGGACATCCGTATGGAATCTCGAGGTCTTTGGGACAGGGTTTTGGAGTTTGGATCTAGGCTGCATGCTTCAAGGTTCTTTGGCACCGTCAGCCAAGGAGAGAAAGCCAGAAGCACATCATTTGCAGGGAAAGCTTCGTCCAGGATTGGGTCCTTTCAAATGCATTTGTTCAGGCATTGTGGCGAGAGCCAACATACAGTGTACTGTGTACTATGTCACAACCGTTGCCTGGATTCGGTAGAAGAGGAACAAGTTTGTTCAGCTTTTGTTTGTGCAGGTCTGGGTTTGTGATGGTTTGTATTTGTTTTCTCAATGTAGTAGTAGCGTTCTTGCTACTAGTAGCGATGCCAGGAGCCCCTAGTAGCGTCCTTGCTCCTAGTAGTAAGGCCACTGAGTCTCATTGAAGTCGGCTGGGGACGCGCTTACACTGGTGGGTTCCCTCTTCGGCCGGAAGTTCCTAATTCCACAGCGGTGCAACGCTCACTCATCCGCTATGCTGAAGACTTACACTGCAAACCACCTTATCACCCGGATGGCCTTGTTTCCATGACTCATATCCACCCAACTTTTCCTGTTGTTGATGCTATTCCACTCACCTTTGAGCAACGATTCCTCTACCGTCGCTATCTGCGTCAATGTTGGAATCGTCAGGGAGATCTCGACTCGGTGCCAGTTCCACCGGCACCTAATTAGTAATTGGTCCATTCCTTTTATGTGCCGCGCGGATATTCGTTTTCACGTAGCTAGGATTGTACAGTGCATTTTCTGTATCGTCACACGATCGTATTTCACCACACTCCCAGATACCCCCTACAACAGGGAAGGATCTTGGGAAGCGCACAGACTCAGCGCAAGTTTCGGGAGTAGTAAGGCCAGGAGCCCCTAGTAGCTTCTTGTTCCTAGTACCCCTAGTAGCTTCTTGCTACTAGTGGCGATGCCAGGAGCCCCTAGTAGCTTCTTGTCACTTAAGACTCAAGACCTTCCAGACATCGGCCCTCGCTGGCCTCAGACAAGACAGAATGATTCAGCGACGGCACCACTCCACCACTGCCAGCACAAACCAATACTCCCAATCTTACAATTGTACGACATGGCTGTTGTTATAGCTGTTTTCCATCATCAGGACACTGGCAACTCGCAATGTCTCGGATGCATCAAGCGGAGGAGATCCTTGGTAGCACGAGATAGACACATACACAGTGACAGAATACCTTGATTGAATCACCCTAGCAGCATCGAGCAGCTATTGCGGTTACAGTTTTGGTCATTGAAACGAATGAATTCACGCCTCCAGAAGGCTTCTGGAGTTGCACAGGATTCCCCAGACACACTCTGTCAGGTTCTCCCTGCCACGACTCACCTCGGCCCTTCGTCTCTCCAAGTCGTGGATGTGGTCCTTGCAGCGACTGGCTGAGCTTCGTGAAATTCGCGAAAGGTGCGCACTTCAGGAACGGATGATAAAAAACAAAGTCTTACTGTAGAACTGGCTGGTGGTGAAAACATCGGCTCCTGGACACCCCACAAAATTGGGTGAGCACAAAGTGCAGCTGGCCCCACTGTTCCACCACTTGTTCACGCTTGAATTGCTACGAGACCATACCTGTTCTTCGATGTTTTCCTACTTCAACCGGGCCTCCTCCCTGTGCCGTTTTGCCTTGAGCATGCTGTGGTGTTTCCTCGTTCTGAACTTGAGAG